GACACATAACAACAACAACATATGTATTTATATAGATATTATTATATTATTATTTTGGCATAAAAACCCTCATTAAAAATAAAACTTATTATATACAGAGCCATTTGACTTTCTATTCCATCATTTATACACATGGTGCTTCATGATTTGGATTAGAATCCCCACATTGTAAGCAGTAGTAGTCTTTCCATTGCTTTCACATGCATCTTTTTCCCATTCACTTTCTATGCTATTCGCTTCTGCCTTTTGAGCTTTGTAACTGGGTAACTGGTACCCTCTTGATTGCGGATGACTGAGTTCTCTCAGGGGTACATTCCTTCTTGGTTTTAATGATCTTTTAGGCCTATCTATTGCTTGGTTGAAAGTTGAGTCATGGGGTTGAATTCTGCTTAAAGGGTGACTAAGGATTAGATTTCAGGGTTCTCAGTCTCTACCAATTTTATAGTCTTAAGCTCGACTAGACTGGGCATCTGGTAGAGACTGTCAGAATCCTAGCATCTGATCCTTGGTTACTCTTCAATTTTCCTCCCACTCTACAGGAATCTTGGATTGTGATTCAAGAATGAAAAGAAAGCTATCCTTACATTTTAACAAACTGTAAGAAAGTGAACTGCGATGTTGAAAGATAGTAAAGCAAACAACTCCAAGACAAACAAGACCCCTCTATATAAATACAAGAAAGAGACTGCAAAATTTCCCACCACATTACCTGGGAAAAGTAGGAGTCCAAGAAATTCATGTTTATTGCTCCGTCCGCCTGGTCCCTGTTGGTCCCTCCAGTGGAATGTCTTGTCCTCATTGTTCCAGAGTGTCCTGCGGAGCAGCTGCCGAAGCCCCCAGTGGCTCCGCATACTGTTCCTGCGGCAAGTCCCCCAGCGCCGGCCGACCCCACACCGGAGCCAAGCTTTGTGGTGATCTCCATTCCTGAGGCTCCTTCCACCATCGTCCGTCCTACATATGTATTTGTACAAACTTCTAAAAACCAGAGGAGAAAATACAATCACCACTCATGATATGTTTTTTTTTTATTTATCTTTGGTATCCTTGAGGGGGTAGTCTGGCTAAGTATCTAGGATCAAATTATAAAATACAGCTATATGACTTGAGGTACTAAGGACACTCTACTGTCTATTGTAGGAGGGTATCAGAGAGGTCATGTTAGGAGAGTAAGTAGCTCCGAAAAGCTATTCAGTAACAAAACATGCAAAAAATATAGATTTTTTTCAGTGACAAAGGCCATAAACGGAAATACAAAACCAGGTTACCCAACAGCCAATCATGGAAAGCTGATAGGCATGAGAGCTTCATTGTTCTCATGAAAAAAAGAAATAAAAACGAAACTAGCAGTCATACTGGCTGAACATGGAAACTCATGTTAAGTGAGAGTGTAGTTAGTGTGTCTTGGTGTCTAAAGAAAATTTAATGAACTTTGACTAGTCTTTCTGTTACCTTTACATTACACTTTCATGGGAAATGGTGTTTCCTAAAGAATTTGGAATACACTTCTTGCTGTACTCGTGTGCTTTGATTATGGGAGAAGCAGGTGAAAATTGGGGAAGCTGACAGCTAATTGGTGAGAACACATGTTGCCTTAGCACACCTAAAAAAAATCAATTGGTCAATATAGAATGAAGTAAAATCTCAATACTAGGTACCAGTCTTTACTAACTCTCTGGTTTACTCCTTATTTACGGCATTGTGATTTATATAAACAGAACAGTTGTCACTGTAAAAACCAAAGTAGGAAAATTGATCTATCAGGTAACTTAAGATCTTGCCGTTTTTTTTGAACACCAGAGTTAGAGATGGAATATAAATCAGGCTAAAGCTACTTCTGGCAAGGAAGAAGAACAGGATTGAAGATGTCGACAAGTGTGGCTTTAACTATAAATATGACCAAAAGCTAAGAATGGACAAGATTAAGTGGATTATATGGATGTTTGTGATATTTTCCCCTTTAGTGTGAATCACCAACTCTCTGTCACTTTGTTGGACTGTGGTGACTTTCAGGTTACTGTGATGCTGGACAATATGCCCCTGATATTTCAAATACCAGTAGAGTCATTCATGATAGGCAGCTTTTAGTGGAATTTCAAGACTCAGAAGACTAGGAAGAAAAACTTGGTGATGTGGTTAAAATTAGCCAATGGATTCTTACGGATTACAGGAGAATATTATCCGATGGTACAGGGTTCAGAAGACTGTAGAGTCAAAGTCAATTTAACAACATGTGTGTGAAATCTTTCCTAATTGAGAAAAATTTAGTAATTTATTGTCCTAGAACCAGATATCACTTTATTAAAATTTAGAAAATTATAATAACTCTTCAGTAAAAATGATGATATTAATGGACAGATTAATTTATTGGAGCCAGAAATGTGTCACAGAATGGAATAATAGATGATTAAACCTATTTCAGTGTTAACCTTTTCTGCTATCTGCATATATATGCAAATTATTCTTTTAAAATTCTGAACACTTGTTATTTTTCAATATTACTTATTTAACTCACTATTGCTTTAAAAAAATAAGTGTGGTGCTCACTTACCAGAATTTTCCATGAATTCGACTCCATTGGCTGTTATAGGTGGCACACAGATATTTGTGATTTCCTGTAATCCATATTTAAAAAAGAAATATATTTCAAAGTGAATAAAATTTCATAGCAATTTAGATGAAATGTGACACTTTGCAAATGGTGAGATTATAAACTCAAATTCTTTCTTGCTAGAGTGACTATTTTTGTTCTTTGACAGAAAAGCTAAAATTTGAAAAGATTCTAAGTCTTTTGCTTTTACACTTCACTGCCCCTCTTTTCTGTTTTAGTACATGTTGTTGCTGTTGTTAAGTGTCGTTGAGTCGCAGGGGACTCCTAGCGACCCTATGAATGAAGTCCTGGACACCTCCTGTATAACTTTCGTCCTTTATCAAGGGTTCATAGGGTTAACAGAGGCAAGCTATTGTGGAAGTGGATGCTACTCCTGCTTCCAATTTTAGTATAAACAGAATATTTTTTTTATAGTGTTGAAATAATGTTTTGCAAACTTAGCACTCACTTTGTCTTCAGGGTGGGCACCTTCGATTTTCCACGGATGAATGGTTCCTTCTGACCCATCAGGCACTGGGATAAATCCACTCGTCACTCCTCCGATAGGGCCCATCCCACAGTCACAGGCCAGCAGCAGCAGAGGAGCCACTTATAACAAAACATAAAACATCCAAACAGTTGAATTCCTTGAAAACTGTCTGACATGACTTTGGTTAGAAACATTACAACATAAGTACAGCTCCTATCACTCTCCTTGCCTTCCTGTTGAATCTGACTCATAGTGACGCTTCAGGGCAGAGCAGACCTGCCTCATTGAGTTTCTGAGGCTGTAAGTTACAGTAAGTAGGAGCTGACATTCTCATCTTTCTCCCTTGGAGTGATTGGTAGCTTCAAACTGCTAACCTTTTGGCTAACAGCCCAACACTTAACCTGCAGTGTCTCACACACTTACTACATGTCATCAGGAGGGGTCAGTCCCTAGAGAAGGACATCGTGTTTGGAAAAGAATAGGGTCAGCATAATAGTGGAAGTCATTCAGTAAGATGGAATGACTACAACAATCCAGTAGGTTTAAGCACAGCAGAGATTGTGTGATTAAAGAATGAACAGACTTATGTTCTGCTGTACTTAAGGCTAATGCCTAACAACAATAAAGAAAATCTTTTTGATATCTTGACAGTCACTATATATACAATGTGCATTTGGTTTTTTATATATGTATGTACAAGTTTTTCCAAGTATGAGTATATTGTCATATCCTTAAAATATGTATTATAAATGTACATATATATTTATATTTTATCTTACATGAAATTAAAAGCATGATGTTTTGCAAACCAAAGTGTCACATGAAGCAAATATTATCATGGGAGTAACACAGTAGATTTTTTTCCTGATTGCTTTGCTGAGTCACAATCTCAAATATGCAATAGCCTACAGGGATACCACACACCTCACAATTCAGCAGTTCAAAGTCAAACTCATTACTGGCAAAACAAAGCCAAACCCAAGAAGGGAAAATAAACTCATTGCTATGAAACGGATTCTGACACATGGTGACTTCATGTGCTTGTTGTAGAATAGAACTGCTTCATAGGGTTTTCTTGGCAGTAATCTTTGCAGATGTAGCTCACTAAAACTTCTCCTTGGTGCTGCTGAATGGCTTCAATCTGGTAACCTTTAAGGGAGCTCTGATGGGCTAATGGATAAGGAGTTGTGCTGTCAACCCATAGGCAGGCGGTTTGAATCCGTCAGTTGCTCTGAGGGAGAAAGATGGGCTATCTCTCCTTATGAGATTTACAACCTCTGAAAATTTGTTAGAGGATCAGCAATGAGTCAGTTCCAACTCAACAGCAATGAGTTTCAGTCTGGGTTTGTTGTTTGTTTTTTTTTTTTTGTAATTTTTAAGTTAGTAAGCCAAAACACCAAACTCATTACTGTTGAGTTGAGTGTAACTCATAGGGACCTTTCACTGTATTTCCAAACCTATAAATTAAGCACACATCATTTGTGTCATCCAGGCACTAAGCAGGTAAGCATAGTGAATTGATTCTAGTTACTTGATAAATCTTTGTTGTTGAACAGTTAACATTGAGTACAAATTTTCCCTGTTAAATTGAATGATATATGAGAACTTCCTTGAGGAAAACATGGTATGTGACTGGGAAGCCACTAGCTCTATCTGTAGCATTTTTTTTAAAAATGTTAATAGATATGGTTAAACAATACATGTTGTATCTAAGTGATTGTTATTTGTGTGTCTGTCAAGATAACTTTCTGTACTTTAACAAGATTTTTTAAAATGTCATCATTTATGTTTAAAAATATTTTTAGAAATTAAAACTTTAAAAGTGAGATAAGAGTGTACTTCAGCACCATGATAATTAATTTTAACTGTAAAAGTCTGTGTTATGAATGTATCAAAGATACCCCTCTCTTATTTGTACAAGTTTACAAAAAGTTCTTTTAAATTGAGACCTACTACCTTCCGAGTCTGGCTTGATTTTCAGTATAGTGCAATTTTTAAGAAACTTATATATTAACTAATGTTGTTGTTGTTATGTGCCGTCGAGTCATTTGCAACTCATAGCTACCCTATGTACAACAGCCCTAAACCGTGCTCTATCCTGGGCCAATCTCATTGCCTCTGACAAACCCATCTCGAATACCCCAGTCACTGAATCAATCCACCTCACAGAGGCTCTTCCCCTCCTGCGCTATCCCTCTACTCTACCCAGCATGATGTCCCTCTCTAAAGACCTGTCTCTCCTTACAACATGTCCAAAGTATGTCAGACGAAGCCCCAGAATCCTTGCCTCCAAGGAGCAGCCTGGTTTAATCCTCTCTACGATGAATCTGTTTGTTTTCTTGGCAGTCCATGGTACATTCAATACTCTTCTCCAGCACCACAGCTCAAAGGCGTCAATTCTCCTTCTGTCCTCCCTAGTCATTGTCCAACTCTCTGATGCATTAACAAGTGATTGCAAAAACCATGGCCTGTATCAGGTGGACCTTAGTCTCCAGAGAGACACTGTTGCTCTTGAGTATTTTGGAGAGGTCCCTAACCACAGACTTTCCCATCGCAATACGTTTTTTGATTTCCTGGCTACTGGTGCCAAGAGTGTTGACCGTGGAGCCGAGCAAACTGAAGCTGTGAACAATTTCAATCTCTTTGCCATCCTTCCTGATGCTACCGATTGGTCCAGTGTTGAGAATTTTTGTCTTCTTAACATTGAGCCTCAGTCCATATTGAAGGCTGCAGTCCTTGACCCTCTGCAGTAAGTGCATGAGGTCCTCCTCCGTTTCAGCGAGCAAGGTTGTGTCATCTGCATAACGCAGATTGTTGATAGATCGTCCACCAATCCTAACGCCACGCCTCTCCTCATAGAGCCCCGCCTCTCGGATAATCTGCTCTGCATACAGGTTGAAAAGGTATGGATACAGGACACATCCCTGACGTACACCCTTCCCAATTTTGAACCATGCAGTGTTGCCCTGCTCTGTTCTGACGACTGCCTCTTGGTCCAAGTACAGGTTTCGCATTAGCATGATTAAATGTTCTGGGATTCCCATTCTTCTCAGAGTCAGCCACAGTTTGTTATGATCCACGCAGTCAAATGCCTTTGCATAATCAATGAAACACAGATAGACATTCTTCTGGTATTCTCTGCTTTCAGCTAAGATCCATCTAACATCAGCTACAATATCCCTAGTACCACGACCCCTTCTAAACCCAGCCTGGACGTCTGGCAGTTCTCTGCTGATGTACTGTTCCAGTCGTTTTTGGATAATCTTCAGTAGAATCTTGCTTGCATGTGAAATCAATGATATTGTTCTGTAGTTTCCACACTCAGTTGGGTCGCCCTTCTTTGGGATGGGAACAAATTAGTTATTATTAACTAATTTGATTTTATTAACTAATTTTATTAACTATTAATAACCATTAGTTATTATTAGCTAATATAAAGTATATTTTATTTAAAAATACATGTCTGTATTTTTCTTAAATGTACAAAGAAACTGTAAATAGTCCCAAAAGAGGTACATCTTCTTGTGGTAATCTATTTTGAGGAAATGAAACAATCATTTGTAAGCAATTTCGGTTTGTTAATGGAAACTTATAAGCTCAAAGACTATCATGGTCATATTCTGTAAATATTTTCCTTCAATTTATTTGACCAAAACTTTGTTTATTTTATTGTCTCATGAGACCTGAATGTTGAGAAGACACTTTAAAAGATGCTAGTGATTCAAATAATTATTTTTGTTTATTTTATTTGATTAAAATTATTAACATGCTGGTTCAGAGCTATTGTACATAGAGTCACTATGAGTGACAACCAACTTGATGGTACATAACAATGTTTTTGGCTGGTAACTGAAAGTTACAGAGTTTGAATCCATCCAGAGACACCTTATTAAGAAAGACTAAGAAAAGTCCAGCAATCTACACGTTGTCCCACTTTATGACAGAGTTCCCTTCTGATGACTATTCTGTGGGTTGGTCCTGGTGTAAGTCAAATCTCTCTTTCTCTCTTTTTTAAATTTTCATTATTAGTATCTTTACTAGTCTGATCAATAAGATGAAATCTTATACTAGATACATTATTGAAGTATAAACAGTGCAAGTGATGTTACAGTTAGGGAAACTTGGACAACTTGGCTTCAAATTTCCATCTTTCTTATGTCATGAAATGCAAGGTCTATATTGAAACTGGCATTAATTTGTAACAATGACGTCAGAATCATAATGACTGTCAGGCTCACATGCAGTTTCTCTTGCATGCCATTCGCGTTGAACATTGTCCAAATCATTTGTTCACTAAGACTTGCTGCACCCACACCGACTACCTTGTATTCTAGTCCATAGACAGCTACATGGCAGTATTTTTAACAGTACATCATTAAATTGGACATCTGTGAATGATAACATCAACAGATTATGTACGGCAGTATTGCACACAGTACATAGTACTGAGGATAAGATATGAAAGACCAGCAACAAAATAGAAGGCTGTAAGTGTAGTTAGTTACAAGTTAAGAACAGTAAGTCAGAGACCTGTGTATTATACTGAAAATGTCAGTCACTGAAAACCCTGCAGTCTACAGTTCTACTCTGATCCATAAGGGATCGTCATGCATTATAATTAACTCTGTGGCAACTGGTTACTGGTGCATTGTTTTCAGTACCTAGGGTTACTAATTTATTCCTTTCATTCCACCTTTTCTAGATGTCTAAAATAGGAGTTTTAATTTATTGAAATAAAAAGATGTGTTGCATGGGGGCTGGGGAGGATCTGCTGTAAAAAAAATTTCTTCAAAATTCTAAATAGCAAGGATGTCAGTTTAAAGACTAAGGTGTGCTTGATCCAAACCATAGTATTTTTCAATTTTTTCATATGCCTCTGATAGTTGGTCAGTGAATAAGGATGACTGAAGAATTAATACCTTTGAATTACAGTGTGGGAGGAGAGCACTAAATATGCCATGGACTGTCAAAAGAAGAAACAAATCAGTCTTAGGGGAAGTGCAACCAAATTGCTTCTTGGAGGCAAAGAGAGTGAAACTTGATCTTGTTTACTTTGGGTATATTTTCAGGATGAACCAGTCCCTGGAGCGAGCATGCTGGGAAAGGTAGAAGGTCAGCGAAAGAGAAGAAGACCCTCAATGAGAAGGATGACACAGTGGCTCCCATAATAGACTTGAACATGACAGAGAACATGAGATTGATGCAGGTTAGGGCAAGTTTCTGATCTGTTATTTATTGGATTTCTATGAGCTGTTGTTGGCTCAATGACACCGAGGTCAACAACAAAGTAGGGCTTGCTTTACTGTTTTACAAATACAGATTGTTGTGTACCATCAAGTAAATTATACTCATAGCTGATCCTCCAGGGGGTTTTTCAGAGGCTGTAAATCACACAGGAGGAGATTGCCCATCTTTTTCCTTGGGAGCACCTGCTAGATTGGCACCATGTGCCTTTGGCTTGACAGTAAAACTCTTTATCACTAGGCCACCAGAGCTGCCCCATGGATTGATAGCGTCAAGTTAAACATTTCGGGTTCTTCCTGAAAATGGCAGTTCCTTAAACCTTTATTTTTGAAACAATGAATTCACAACTCTTTATGCTTGGCAGAAGTGAGCACGAGCAGTATGAAAACCTTTGACAATGCCAATGCCCTCCTAGAAACAGAAGGAAAAGATGGTGTACTCACACAGCAATAGCAGAAGACCAAAGATGATCAGGCCAATGGCGGCCGGCCCGAGCTCAACTGTAGATTGCCTTCCATACGTGGGCCCAGGGCGCTCGGCTTCACTTGGGGAATACCTTTCACAGATGCCCCTGTTGTCACACTGACAGACCCTCAGAGGCAAGGTCTCTGGTGTCTCGCACTGCCTGTTATCTCTGTCTTTGACTATTAGGGAGATTATGTAGTCTCCGGGAATTATCTGTTGCTGGGCACTCAGCAGGGCTGATGTAGCTGGAGAGAAACAATTAGCAAATCAGTAGGCAGACAAGATTTTGTTCTTAAAATGGCTTGGGATTTTTGGTAACATTTATAATTGCTCTAGAGATTATTGCCACCAGCAGCAGAGTTGATAGCAGGATTCAGTATGAACAGTCAGGATGGATATGAAGAGTCAATTTGGTCAATCTCTTCGCATCTATCAATCTCTTTGCATCTATATTCTTTCCTTGTGTTTCTGTCCACATGGCCCTATTATTGTCCCTCCATGAAGATTTAGTTCTGCATTGGTTTTGTGACAAAAGACATGAATTGGGCATCTCAGAGGTTTAACCACTCTTCTGCTTATCTGGCCAATTGTGAGCTCTGGGAAACCCTCTGAATGTGTACCTTCCTTCTCCCTGGATGTTCTGGAGCTTGACTTACTGGATTTCTGCTTTGGTTACTTCTACCGTAATTGCTCCTGTCTTTTATAATCTTAAGAGTCTTGAGGCCTTGCACAGGACTCCCTGTGGTCATAGCCTCTGTCTCTCTTTCCCTAGGCACCAATAGCTCTCCTTTCTCCATTGCTGTGTTGCCATTTCTAAGAATGATTCTGGAGGCAGCTCTTACTCATTTGTACTGTGTTGTCTGAATAATTTTTTACCTGGTGATATTGTGCATTGCCTGCCAAGTAGCAACAGTGTTGTGTGCCCAGTCTTATGTAAGCAGACATGTCTCAATCCAGGTTCTAATTTTGTTTGCTTGTTTTTTCTATAGTAGCAGCTTCATTTGGCAAGCATCTGGTAAACCACCTTGAAGCCAAATGCTACTTTATAATCTGGAGCTACAAATAGGTAGCAGGGTCTATCAGTCTCAAGAGAAGAAGGCCATGGAGAAAAAGGTTCCTTTGGTGACTTGCAGCTGCTGATATCTATGAATGAAAGGTACCTAGAGTATGTTCATGAGACCATGCAAGATTTATTCACAAAGCAGCAATAGAAATTATGTTGGATGTTAGTTTACAAAAAGATTTGGAGACATAGCCTGATGGTTAATATAAAATCTAGAACAATTATTCTTAAATTCTGTATTTGCTTCATTGGAATTCCTGAAAAATGTAGAAAATAGAAGATTGACAATGATTAGGGGGAAAAGAAGGCTAGATTAATTTTTCACTATTCGTAGACTGTGTTTATGAACTTGAATCTACCATACTCGGAAATGCTTGACTGATGGAAGACTAAATATCACTTGTCAAGTGCCTTGATCAGGCCAATTTGTTCAGGGCAGCATGCCTCTTCCCAGATTTCTCAGTTTGGAAACGTTTTTGCATTTAGAAATCTAAAGAGCATTTTAATGAAATAAATATCTGACTACGCTACATAGATAGAAATAAACAGATTGAAGATACAAAAACTATTTTAAAAATTGCATCTCCAATGAAAAATAATAGAAAATTTTACATGGTGGTAATTTCTCTTTTGTACTAAGAAGAAATTCACAAGATAAAGGCCACATACTTTTTTCAAAAAGATATTTTCAGTTACTTTTGGAATGGACTTGTTTCAGATGATGTTGTTGTTTCAGATAAACACTCTTATTTTTC